GATGATGAGAATCGGGTCTATGCAGGTGGAGGTGCAACCCCCGCACAGCTGACACCTACTCTGGGCCCAGACCAACCCCTCTCCTGACTCCAGCCCTCTGTTGCTTCTCCCCCCACTGGAGCTTGCCGCAGAGCCTGGAGAGCTGAACTCCTCCCCATGTCACAAGCATGGGGGGCGTGGGGACACATAGGGGCTGTGGCCCTCCCTGTGGCTCCTCCTCACAGCCCCAGAGAGCCGACAGGCACGCGGCACACACACGCCGTTCCAGGCTGGCCCGAAGGCCAGGCACAGGGCGCGCCGCGTGGCCACGCTCTGCTCTGGCTGGCCACTTCAGACTGGAGAGCCTGCTCTTGGATTGAACTCGGAACCAACCCGGGCATGGCTCCCGTGGGCATGTACCCAGCATGCCTCTCACCGTCGCTCCCAGCCCTCCACCCTGGGCCCCCTACCCTCAGCAGAAAAAAAGGGGATTTTCTTTCAAAGACCTACTCTGGGCTTAGAAAAGTAGTCCTTAGGGTGGCAGTGGTGCATCTTCGGTGCGTGCCTGCAGCCCCGAAGGACAGCTCCTGTGCCCTCAGGATGGGAGGGCAGAGCCCAGGGCTGAGGAGGTCTTCTCAGTCCTCCCCCTGCCCTGTTCACTCTTTACCCCTTGGGCTGGCTGAGCAGAGAGCTGGGTGCAGGATTCCAAATGGCCCCGGGTTTGAATCCCAGCCCTGCCACTCATTTGCCCTGCACTTCTCTGCGTCTCCAGGCCTCAGTGTACTGGTCTCTGAAATGGGCTTTGCATTGAGAATGTGGCTATGAGGCGGCTCTGGTGAGAAGGGGCTGAACGGGGTCAGGCAGAGCCCGGCAGGGGAGGTGGGATCTGCCTGCCTGGACCGCAAGACGGAGCAGCTGCAGCTGGGTGCTGGGCTGAGTTATCTGATGGTGCACTGCAGGACTTGGCCCGGAGTGGGCACGGGGCCTCCCTGGCGCATGAGCAGTGCTCCTAGGAAGAAGAGCAGAGAGGGCCAGGGCAGCCCATTCACCTCTCCTGGAGAGAGGATGGAAAGGGCTCTGGGTGTGTGTATGGGATGGGGGGCAGGGGACAGAGGCACCTGGGCATCCTCTCTGGGCCTCAGTTTCCTCGTCTGTACAAGGTCCTGCAGGACCAGCTCACTGGGTGCTCACGTACTTCCAAACCACAGCCCAGTTGGGACAGAGCAAAGCCTCCAGGTGGCGAGATTCTCCCTGGGGTGAGGGGCAGTGTGGCCCAGCAGGATGTGAGGGAGGGGAGGCCCTCACCCTGGCCCCCCAGCAGGTCCAGAGGCCCCTCTAGCCCTACCCAGTTCTCCCCTGCCCAGTGAGTGTGTCTTTAATCAAGGGCTGAGAGGGCTGTGCTGACTGGGGACCAGCCTGAGGGCTGGGAGGTGGGAGGGGAGGAGGGGAAGGACTGGAGATGCCAGGACTGGGGAAGCAAGCCTTTGGGTCCCCCAGAAACTTCCACTGTTCGCAGCTCCTTGGGACTTCTTTGCTGCTAGTGAACCAGGCTGCTGGCTCCTGGGCAGCGGGATTCATAGCTCTGCCTGCTCCTGCCTGCTGGGGGTCTGCGGCTGCCAAAACTGGGCTCTGCAGGACGGAAGGAGGGGCTGCTTGCTCAGGCCAGGCCCTGCCTTTTGGGCTGGCCTCAGAGCTGGCAGGTCTGATCCCCGCTACCTGGGCAGATGGCCCACCACCACCGAGCCGTGATGACACGATGGCGGTGCACTCAGGGCTGATGGAGGTGGGGGCTGCGGGCCCCATCTTGTGATCCCAGGGGCCATACACAGAGCATGGCTCTGCATAACAGGAGCGGGAGAAGGGGAAGGGTGCATGGAAAGAGGAGGGGCTCCGACTCCCCCAGCCCCGTGCACTGCAGACCCCAGGGTCTGCTTGCAAACAGCAGCTGGGGCTTCTCCCTGAGGGATTAGACTGGCATCATCATGCTTTCTGAGCAGCCTTAAGGTCTGTGACAGTCACCAACCTCCCTCCTTACTGCTCATAAGAAACCTTTTCTCAGCATCTGCTTGGAATTTACAAATGGTTTATTTTATTTATTTATCGTTAGCTATAGTGTGTGTGTACTCGCCAGAGAGACACAGAGAGGTAAATGAGAAAGCAACCCCTAGGGGGATGGCCACACTGCAGTCCCTTCTCCTCCATTCTCCTCTCAGGATTTTAGGCATACACACACATGCCCAGCATGGTTTTCAAACCACCGGGTCTGGGACTGGAGCCCTGCCGCCAGCTTCGTGGGATCCAGCCACCTTAACCTTCACTCCACCCACTGGACCCAAAAGGTTTATTGAGACTAGAGCAAACCAACAGAAAACTTCCTGGCTTGTAGGTCCAGCTTGACAGGAAAGCACCTCCCCTCCCTGCAGCGCCCCTGCAGGGTGCTCTCAAAGAGGGTCTGCCGCGGGAACCAGCAGTTAGCGTAATGGCTATGTCGCTGGAATCCCACATAGTCGACCGTGGTTCTCGTCCTGGACCCAGTGGCTTAAAATTCACGCTGGGCTCGTGTGCATGTGTGCCCAAGATCCCGAGAGGAGAATGGAGGAGAAGGGATTGCGGCG